GGTGGGCGGCCCTCCGGGCGCGGCGTGCGTTTCCGGCGCGCGCGGCGGAGCGCTGGGGCGGGGGCACCGCCGGCTCCCAATCGCGCACAATGAGACAGCGCTGAGCGCCGGAAGTGGGGCCGAAGGAAAACACGGAGAGGGAGCCCGGCCGGGACAGGAAGAGGCTGGGGACCGCGGCGGAGGTGGTGAGTGCTCCCGGGCGCCTTCTCCCCCGCGTCCCTGCCGCACTCGTCTCCGGGCTGGGTCTCCGGCGGGCTTCCCAGGCTCCGGAGTCGAGGCCGGGCCTGGACCCCGAGGCGCGTTGGCTGCATCCTCCGCCGGCCTCCCCGCCCCAGTTTGGGCGACCGAGGAGTCCCCGGGCCGGCGAGGACCGAGCTCTCGGGTCTGAGTCCGCGCCCTCACTTTGTGTCAGACTTGCGGGGCCAGAGGAAGGAGGGATCTGGGTCGAGGCGCTCGGCCACCGACCCCAGGGCGGCCGGGGGGGACCCCGGACCCCCGTCGAGGCAGCGGGTCACTTCCTGCTTCCTAGTCCCCTCGGTGGCTTCGCCGCCAGGAGCGCGGGGACGCCTCCTCCTCCGCCGCCTCGGGCTCCGGAGGGTGGAAACTGAGGCAGGACAGGGGCGGGGCGGTCGGACGAGGATCGAGGAGGAGTGTCATCCCGCAGGGAATCGCGGTCCGTGATGCAGAGAGCCCAACTTGTTTGGGGCTGGAGAGCGGGCAGTGAGGAGGTCAGCGGGAGTGGTCCCCGGCTCGGAAAGCCGGCCCGGCCCCTTTGAGTAGAGCGGGGCTGGGGTCGAAGCCCAGCCGGCCCCTCTAGCCGAGGCGATCAAGGCTGGGCCGCTCTGAAGAGGGGTGGGGAAGGGTCGGCACCGTGGCGTTGAGAGGAGAGGCACTCAGTTCGCGTGAAGTTTCGGTTACTGTGTATCACACTTGCGAGTAATTGCCAACTTAGGGAAACTGTTTCCGGACGGTTGTAACAATATTGGCTTGGGATGAGGATTTCTTTGAAGAGTAGCACTTGGTCTTATAGGTAAAAGCCGACCAACTCGGTGTGAGTTGTAACATTTCCCCGTGCTACTGTTCTCGAACCCATAGGAGCTTTTCTCATTCACAGATTTAACCTTCATGCTAAACAGGACTGATTTTCTTGAAGAATATTATAGGACCAAGCCTCTCATTTCTAATGCAATGCCCTGACTATTAAGAACGTTGATGGAACTTTATTTCAAAAAATAGGAAAAGAGTTTCTTGCAGACTTTCGGGTGTCTGTGTGATAAATGTGTTATTTTGGCTATCTGGTATGAAAGTTTGTTACAGTTTGATGTTTCCCCCCCCCCCCCCACTACATTCTTTCAGGTGCGAAGTAAGAAAATTGAGATCAAAGACCATGGGAGACGCAGCAAAATCTTACTTTGTGAAGCGCACTAAAGACCGAGGGGCTATGGATGATGATGATTTCAGAAGGGGGCACTCCCAACAGGATTATTTAATAATGGATGATTATGCTAAAGGCCATGGCAGTAAAATGGAAAAGGGCCTTCCAAAAAAAAAGATGACACCAGGGAACTATGGGAATACCCCTAGAAAAGGACCATATGCCGTTTCCAGCAATCCATATGCATTTAAAAACCCAATCTACAGTCAACCTGCTTGGATAAATGACAACCACAAAGATCAGAGTAAGAGATGGGTATCTGATGAACTTACTGGTAATTCAGACAGTTGGAGAGAATTCAAACCCGGACCTAGAGTTCCTGTGATAAGCCGACCAAGAAAAGACTCCTTTCAAGAAAGTGAAGATGGTTATAGGTGGCAAGACACAAGAGGCTGCAGAAGTGTAAGACGACTGTTTCATAAAGATCTTTCAAGCCTAGAAACCATGTCAGAAATGGAAACAGGAAGTCCTGGTAATGTGTTCCAACTTGTCGTCTTACAACCCCAAAGTCAGCAATGTCCTGCTCCTTTTTCATCCAAATGAGTTGTGTTAGTTTCAGCAATTCAGTTTCAGTTTTCCATAGTTTCTGCTTTAAGAAGTGATCACTTATTTAATGTGATTATTTTCAGGATTGTAATCATGATATTGGGGCAGTTTCCACACATTACATATGTTGATCCCTTTCAAAGTTTATTTGCTGTGCGTGGTGGCTCACACCTATAAATCCCAGCACTTTGGGAGGCCAAGGCAGGAGGATTGCTTGATCCATTAAAGACCAGCCTAGGCAACATAAAGAGACCACTTCTCTACAAAAAAAAGTCTAAAAATTAACTGGGCGTGGTGGCGTGTGCCTGTAGTCCCAGCTGCTTGGAGGGACTGAGGCAGAAGGATCATCACTCGAGCCCAGGAGATCAAGTCTGTGGTGAGCTGTGATCATGCCACTGCATTCCAGCCTGGGTGACAGAGTGAGACCCTGCCTCAAAAAACAAGTTAATTTGGCCCCAGAGTTCATTTTATTTTAATGAACATTTTCCATTGGTGCTATTTACATAAGAGGGTGATCATATTCCCCTAGGGACCATATCATAATCGCTGAGTGGTGTGTGTGTATTTTCAAAATTATGGTTCTAATTTTGTGTTTTAATCATAAATGTGTCCACTGTGTTAATATATAAATACAGAATATAAAGGTTAAAAAAAGACAAAAATTATCTGATGTAAAAACATCTTACAGACTGCAGATATCTCCTGCTACATGTCTTTTTGCTTGAGTATCAGTCTTCCAAGAAGGATGACCTAAGACCTTTGTTTTTCAAAAGGGAGCATAGCAAACAGGTTGTGAAACAAGAAGTCAGACATATAGATTAAAAACTTTGCTGTTTGGTTTCAGTAAAACCACAACCCATTTCTTAGTGCCCTTACATGCTTGGTCAATTGCACCAAAGTGATTATTTATATATTTTTCCCAAAAGGGTAAAAAGTAGATTTTGTTCATGCAGCAATGATCTCTGTAAACAGGAACGTTATTTTTATCTAATGAACATTTACTGAAATGAGATAGAGTAAAAAATTGGATTTAAAAAATTATACTTGGAAAAGTGGACTTGTACGTTTATTGGCTGAAAGCCTTTTTTAGTGACCATATAGAATGGGTTGCAAACTGGCCAGCACTTCTAAAATTTTATGAATTTAAGTGCCTTCAGGCAATGTGGACACTTTCTAGATCTCCAGAGGCTTTTTTCATTAATGTTATCGCATAATGGCCGGTTCATATATATGTTACCTATAAGACATTTGAATGTGTGACCCATGCATACAGAATACTTAAAATGGAAAAGGTCATTTCTTATATTTAGAAGATTTTTTATTATAAAAATGAATATCTCAAGGACTTGTTAATAGCACATGGGAGAAAGTGTTATAAAGGAATTACATAGTAAGGAGAGAGAAAACCTCAGCCTTAGAAATCTTTAAGCTAGAAAACTTGAAGACATTATCTGATGCAGTGTTCTGTCATGCTATATCAAAAAGTAGAATCACAATTTTACAAATCAGACAGCTGCGTCCTGAAGAAGTTAAATTTATTCAGACTTGTTTATACAAGTGGTGGATGAGGAAGTATAATTGAAATCTCGGCCACCCTGCTTACTCTGTCCACTAATTCAGCCTTGCTGGACCTGGAATTCTGACAGGGAAATGAATCATTTATTTGTGTTTTTCTTTTTTAAAAATTGTATTTAAGTATTTCTATGTCACTGTGTCTAGGTAGGATGTGGACATTTAACTTAGTTACCTGTGGTCAGTCTTTTAGAGAAGAAAAAGTTGATCTTGAAAAGCATTTAAAAAAAATAGGTAGATCAAAAATTTGCAAGTGGACATATTAAAAGGAACTGTTTATAGACTAAAAACTCTAGTATATATTCTTATTTGTTCTTAAAAGTAACTAAAGAAGTTGCATTTAACTATGTTTGAATAGGAAATACATTTCACTGCCTTTTTAGTGAAAGCAATCCAAAAAGCCTATGTTTTCTGTATATGAAATACAGGTGTGTGCTTTCACAGTTGGTAAATGAAGAACTATTCAGCTTCTGTTCCTTGAAATTCTTCATAAAGGAAGTATTAAGCTTTGGCATAACATTATTTATCATAGAGAGAAATTTGGTTTAAAGTATGTTGTTAAAGTATAAACTTTGCATTAAAAGGATGCTAAAAAAGGTCTCATTAAAGGGATTGAAATTTTCTTAAATGAAAATTGTCTTAATTTTATTAATAAGGATCTTATTAAACAATGTGAGAAGATGTAATTAAAATTATGTTAGAGTTGCTTTAAAAAAATACAATACTACCTTCTGTTTTTTCCGTTCTACATCACTGTACCTACCTCATCTGTCAAATGACCTAGATTGCCAATATCATGTATTTGGGACAGTGCCATTAGTGATCTTAACTGGAAAACTCCATCCAAATACACAAGTCCTTTGTGGACCATATGCAAATACAATACAAGAAACTTGAATGCTGAGGGTAGAGAACTCTTATTACAATAAGCCAGGTAGGATGAGCCAGGTAGTCTTCTTCTAAGTAATTACGGGAATTTTTCGTCAGAACCCAGCTTTAACTTCCAAGAGTTTTTCCAGTGAGATTTTATTTGACAGTTCTTACTATACATGCCTGTGAAACTCAGTTCAGGAGGTTATATTGCCCTGTCAGTTCTAGTATATTCTAGATGTGAATGGATGTACTCCAAGAAGGGATTTTAGTGATTTCTTTCCAGTTTTTATATGAGAACATCGAATTTCAGAATTGCATCCAAATTTTAATCCGTGTTTCCATCCCTTTACTCTGACTGAGCCCTGTGTCTTCGAGCAAGGCACTTACTCACGGGCCGGCATTGTTCTCATCTGTACCACGGGGAGAATATCAGCATCCATGACAAGGTTACTATACGGAATAAATGAGACAGTGCATCTAGAGTGCTTTATGTCTGTCACATAGTAAGATGCTCAGTAATGGTAGTTGGCGCTGTCATCACCCAACAGAATTTCTGCAGCCATCCACTTCTCAGGATAAAAGCAGTAGGAGTTAACTGTGGTCTTTGGAGAGAGAGAGAAGCTACTCTTTCTAGAAGAGGACAGCAGATGTAGTTATTATTAAAACTTTGTGACCAGGAGAGATGAGGGGTGTAAAAAAAAAAAAAAAAAAGACTAGGTTTCATATCAATTACTGTTCGTGAACTAATAGAACTTTTCTAAAGGGTTTTGCACATATGAGTATAAATCTCTAGTGAGTGCTTGTCTAAGTAAGAAAACTCTGTCATGACCACTGATGCCAGATGCAATTATTTAGAGAAAAATTGAGTTTATCATGATAAGTGAATTAAATGAGAATGGTCACATCTCTAAGTAAAAGAAGTGCCTATTAAAAATGTGTTCAAGGCCAGGTGCAGTGGCTCAAGCCTGTCATCCCAGCACTTTGGGAGGCCAAGGCCAGAGGATTGCCTGAGCTCAGGGGTTTGAGACCAGCCTGGGCAATTTGGTGAGACCTCATCTCTACAACAAATCAAAAAAATAAGCCGGGAGTGGTAGCACACACCTGTAGTTCCTACTGCTGGGAAGGCTGAGGCAGAAGGATCGTCTGAGCCCAGCAGGTTGAGGCTGTGGTGGTTGTGGGGATGCCACTGCACTCCAGCCTGGGTGACAGAGTGAGACTCAGACTCAAAAAAAATGTTCAGACCAAGAATACTGGCCTTATGGTCAGGCTCAGTGGCTCAGCCTGTAATTCCAGCACTTTGGGAGGCTAAAGTGCGTGGATTGTCTGAGCCCATGGATTTGAGACCCACCTGGGCCACTTGGCGAGACCTTGTCTCTACAATAAATCAAAAATTAGCCAGGTGTAGTGGTGTGTACCTGTAGTTCTGGCTACTTGGGAGGCTGAGGGAGAAGGATCACCGGAGCCCAGCAGGTCGAGGCTGTGGTGGCCGTGACTGCACTCCAGCTTGGGTGACAGAGTGAGACTCCAACTCAAACAAAGAAAAAGAGAATACTGGCCTTAAATGATTATGATGATTTAATTGGGAGTAGGAGTGTTAAAAAGTAGGTTATTACAGCAACCCGAATTATTATTCACATTTGAATACTTAACCTTTTAGTATTTTTCTGTTTGGTGCATTTTGAGTGATTTTTTTAAAGCTATTTTTTCTAACACTAAGTTTTTGTTTTTAATTGCCACATATTGTAGCATAGAAGCTGTTTGTAGAATTTCCTTATATTCAACTCAGGCAGTTTGAACATAATGCTTGCTGCTTGTTCCTTAGGGCTTTTTTATAGCTGTTCTTAAAATTGGAGTTCCTATACCTCCTTTTCTGACAGAAGTTTTTTCAGTCAGTCAGTTCATTGTACTTACCATACTAGTAATGAGTTCCTCTGAAAACTTGACAGAGGAGTTGCCTCATACAGGGCATTTCAGTAGGTTTGCATTTTTAAGGACCAATTTGTTTTAATCATATGTGTTACTCATAGCTTCACTTTTCAGAACTTGATAGAAGTTATTATAGCTACTAAAGCAACTTTTTACAGTCCAGTCCCACAATCGCTTTGTTTCACTGGCTGAAAAGTTATAAAGTTTTAAAAAGGAATGGATTTATTTATTCATTATAAGGATTGTAGAACAGCAGAGTTTTGTAAATAAATAGAGAAAACTTTATTTCAACTACCAATTATCTTTTTCCTTAGAAATATGCTCAGTGTACAGGCTATTCAATGAAGCTAAAATGGAAGTAAAGATAAAATGGGAAATAGTTGTCCTTAATAAATAAAATTTTGACTTGGACTTCTTCATGTTGATGGAGGAACCTGGATTATGTGTTACTGATGGCTAAATTTGCAACTAAATGATTAATTTTTCCCTCAAGATAAGGAGGTGGTTGATTCTAGTTCTCCAAGGGTACATTGTCCATTTTTGCCCTATTGAGATTGTTCACTTATTTAAAAAAATGAAAGTAAATGTGAATGGTTTTAATTAGAATAATGGGTATACTTATAGGTATTGTAGACTACATTCGATATATGTACATTATGTATTGTAAAATGTTAACGATAGTAGAATTATAGATATTCTTGCCTTCAGAGAATAATTTTTACTATTGCTTCAGTATGCTCACCAGGAAGAGATAATACAAAAATTAAAGCACAATTCTTTTTGATTTTTTCAAAAAGGTAATTTCTATGGATTGATGCCTTCCAGGTGATGTAATTACTGAATCCTGTATTCAGGCATTTTGTCATAGTATAGCTACCTTTCCTTTTACTCTATGTTCAGATGTGATTTATTCTCTCACATGATTTAATTAATATATACATAAGTTCTGCTTTTTACTCAGGAGTGGCATTATTTAATATTGCCAATAATATTTTGCCCCTAACTTAAGAAAACAAGAAGCAGCGGTCTAGACCTAGGAAACCACGGAGGACTAGAAATGAGGAAACTGAGCAGGACGGAGACTTGGAAGGCCCTGTGATTGACGAGTCTGTGCTTTCAACAAAGGAACTGCTGGGTTTACAGCAGGCTGAGGAGCGACTGAAAAGAGACTGCATTGACAGGCTAAAAAGGGTAACATCTTTGGGCATATATTTGTTAGTTAAAATCCTTGTTTGGGTCTAAACTTTGTTAGTAATTGGGAATATATGCTTTGATGAATTTGGTATCCTACTTTATGAGTATTTAAGCACTGCAAGTTAAAAGTGATATCCAATGTGATTTAACAGAATTAAGAATCATTGCTATTACACTTAAATTAAATGACTTTTAGGATAGTAATGAGTTCAGGGCTGAAGTACACTTTGATTGCCTCTGTGAATAGTCACTTCACTCCAGCCTGGACAACATAGTGAGACCCTCCCTTGGGGGTGGGGGTTGAGAAGTGAGGGGGAAATTATTTTCTGGCTAGTTGTGTTTACTTGTATGTTTGGTGATAACATTTATCTCTTTCTATATGTAAATTTCTTCAAATTATAGCGACCACGAAACTACCCAACAGCAAAGTACACCTGCAGACTCTGTGATGTTTTAATTGAATCCATTGCATTTGCCCATAAGCATATCAAAGAGAAGAGGCACAAGAAAAACATTAAGGTAAGTTTGATGTAACCCAAACAATTATGCTTACCTGTCAGTCATTATTATTTGTCATCTTTGTGACTTTCTTCTTAACACTATGATATTGATAACTTTACTACTTTATTTACTGAATGTATTATAGCCTGAATACATTATACTGGTCAGATGTGTTTTGCTGGGCAGTCTGTAAATTTCCTTAAGGGCGAAATCAGGATGTATGAAGTCATTGATAGGACCTAGGTATGTGTTTTTATGCCAGTAATACAGCACATAATCAGTTTGTTGTTGCTGTTTTTAATGTTCTTTACCCTTTCTCCTATGCCTGTCTGTCCCACTGACACTCACCCATGTCATGTGCATAAAGAAATGGGAGTGCATTTGATCGGATGAAGACATTTAACTAAGGGGGGGAGGACTAAGAAAGATTCCAGGAAATTTTATAGGGTGTTGTTTCAGTGAATGGGAGAAGGTAAAAACTGTGTGCAAGTCATTCTTGATCTCAATATTTGATCTTAAAAGGAAAAGCAGGAGGAAGAGTTGCTCACTACGTTACCCCCGCCAACAGCCCTACAGATCAATGCAATTGGCATTGCCATTGACAAAGTGGTGCAGGAGTTTGGCTTACACAATGAGAACTTGGAACAAAGGCTAGAAATTAAACGTATCATGGAAAATGTGTTCCAACACAAGTTACCAGGTATTTTCTAGATTTGTTTTTCTACTTAGCTGTCTGAAAGTTCCTCATTTATTTTTTTTCCAACCAGTTGTAATTTTCACCTAGTAAAATTTCACTTTTCATGTCCTGAAGCTCTTGTTTTTTGTTTTTCCTGGTGTCCCCAAGGTAACAAAGACTTTTCACATGCATTGTCATTAAAAACTTGTTTTCAGTATAAATTTTTCTGTGTACACAAACTTAAAGTATGCCCCATATTATTGGAGCACTATGGGAACTCTTTTGTATGTGTTTGTTTGCCTTTCTGCTTATCTTGACACAATATTTTGAGTTAAAATCAAGAGAAATATCCTGATGTTATTTTCAGATTATCTTTGTTGAAGAAAAGGTTTTATTTAAAGCATATTTAAAATAATTGCAAGCTGGTCTCCGTGGCTCAGCCTGTAATCCTGAGCTTTGGGAGGCTGAGGTGAGTTTGCCTGAGCCCACGGGTTCGAGACCCTCCTGGGCAACTTGGCAAGATCTCATCTCGACAAGAAATCAAAAACTTAGGCAGGCGTGGTAGCACACGCCTGTAGTTCCAGCTACTTGGAAGGCTGAGGTGGAAGGATCGCCAGAGACCAGCAGGTCGAGGCTGCGGTGGCCGGGAGCGGCCACTGCACTCCCAGTCTGGGCGACAGAGTGAGACTCCAGCTCAAAATATAAATAAATAAATAATTGCAGCATCTAAAATGAACCTTGAAAACTAGTTTGTAAGTAATTTGTAGTGGATTTTATGTACTGTAGAATTGCTTTTCCAAGTTATGTCTTTCTGCCTATTTTTAATTTTAGAGTTTTGGAGAGTGGGGAGTGGGGACAACTATTTGGAGTATGTTACTATGAAAATTTAAGGCCAGGTATGGTAAATGCCTGATACAGCTTCTGTCAGTCCTTGACAGTAACAAACCCTGCCTCATCTCTCTCCCTACCACTAGCCATTCTTGTTTCGGTAAATGACTGGAATAGCTTAATCATTCTCAGTCTTTGCTGTGCTTCAGAATTATCTGTAGAGCCATGGACAACTACTTTTAGAAAACTCCATAAGTGATTCTGATCCACAGCTAGGGTTGGAATCATTATATAAATTTGTCACCTCACAAGGCTTAGAACTATTTGTTTTACTCAGAGATCATACATATAGTATTTGTAATATGTATACTTGTATAAGAATAAGGGGAAATAATCTTAGTCCATTATATAGGTATCTCTAAAAAGTCAATTATTATTTTAATGAATTTTGCTGTAGAATTTCATGTAAAAATGAATGTGTTTTGTTATGAGAAACTGTTAAAACCCAAAGAAAGCACTTGAATTGGTAAACCTTAGACAAACGAAAACCAACCCCTGATGAGAAAGGATAATATTTTGGCACAATACCGTTGTAGTAAAACATTGAAAATAAATGCCCTAAATATAGGTGGTACACATATACGCACATGCATCTTCCTCTGAAGAGTAAAATGCATAGCATTTTAAATGATATCAATGATGTAATTATTTTTCAAAAGTTTTTCTAAAGGGATTATGTTATGTGAAATGCGATTTGTCAACAGTGTAATGAGTAATATTAAAAAGTAACTGTGCAGATTATTACTGTTTTACTGAAACACACTTTTTATAGTAAATTACACCTGTTTGCTTTGTAAAAGATGAAAAGAAATGTTTGCATTAGCTCAAGTATATCATCAGATTTATAAATGTAAAGGAAAGGTATGCTTTTTTTAACTTTCACTTTTTTTTTTTTTTTTTTTGAGTTGGAGTCTTACTGTGTTGCCCAGGCTGGAGTGCAGCGGCATACACACTCACGGCCACCCCAGCGTCGACCTGCCAGGTTCAGGCGATCCTTCTGCCTCATCCTTCCAAGTAGCCGGAACTATAGGAGTGTGCTACCATACCCGGCTAATTTATTTGATTTATTGTAGAGATGAGTTCTCACCAAGTTGCCCGGGCTGGTCTTGAATTCGTGGGCTCAGACAATTCTCTCACCTTGGCCTCCCAAAGTGATGGGATTACAGGCGTGTGCCACCACACCCGGCCAACATTTGAACAATCTCAAATAGTGTTTTCTGTACCATATGTGACCACTGTAATGTAGGATTTTGACATGTTTTACAACGACATGAAAAGAATGACTTAAGCTAAATCACTGTCAATATAGCCTCCTCTGTTAAATAAAATCAAGAGAAAAGCAAAGAGCCACCTATTCCTGTCCTTTGTTTATACCAGACTTGAATACAGTTTTGCTTTTGTGTATGATTTTAATTGATGGTTTTGTTTCTGCAATAGCAGTGTTTTGTTAAAACTTTTGAGAAATTCTACTTTATGACATTTACTTACTTATTTTTTAGATTGTTCTCTAAGATTATATGGATCATCCTGTAGCAGATTGGGTTTCAAAAATTCGGATATAAACATTGATATTCAATTTCCAGCCATCGTAAGTACAAAATGAAATCTTGGGCTTTTCCAAATAGTATGGAAATTCTTTCTTTCAAATGTGAACTGCATATCAATGTATTTTAGATATTTGAAGAAACAACTTTTTTCCCAAAAACTTCTATTTTTATGTCTTCTGCCTGCCTTCAGTTTTAGAGCTTTAAGTATCCTACCGGTTTTCATACTTACTTTTAACACTGGTTTTTTAACCTTGTGAATCTATCGGAGGTAGTTAGGTTCTGGTTATCTTAAAAAGGCTAAATTCTCTTAGTCAAATCATCTTTCCAATGGCAGGAAACAAATTCAGATTTTTTCTGTTTGGTTTGGTTTTGGTTTTTGGTGTTTCTTTTTTTGAGTTGAAGTCTCACTCTGTCGCCCAGACTGGAGTGCAGTGGCACGCTCATGGTCACCGCAGCCTCAACCTGCTGGGCTCAGCCTTCCAAGTAGCTGGAACCACAGGCACATGCCACCACGCCCGACTAATTTTTTGATTTTTTTGTAGAGATGGGGTCTCGCCAATTTGCCTCAGCTGGTCTTGAACCTGTGGGCTCAGGCAATCCTCTTACCTTGGCTTCGCAAAGTGCTGGGACTATAGGCATGAATCCACTGCACCCGGCCTTGTTTTGTTTTTTGAGTGGGTATCTCACTCTGTTGTCCGGGCTGGAGTGCAGTGGCGCCATCACAGCTCACCACAGCCTTGACCTCCTGAGCTTGGATAATCCTTCTACCTCAGCCTCTCAAGTAGTTGGGGCTATAGGCACAAACCACCATGCCTGGCTTATTTTTTCTTTTCTTTTCTTTTTTTTTTGTAAAGGTAAAGTTTTACTGTGTTGTCCAGGCTGGAGGATCAGATTTTAAGTAGTGTAGATATGTAAATATTTATGGTCTGAAAGCTTAATTATCTCCTGAATTACCTCTTTCTATATATCTATTGAGATAATTAGGCTTTTACAAAACCACACCTGAATTCCTGGTTTGAACATGATTCAAAAAGACGTTGGTGAGACAGTTTTTCAGTTGGAAGGTAACTGGCTGCAGTGACATGCTTGTGTAGTCCCAGGTACTCTGGAGGCCAAAGTCAGAGAGTCCCTTGAGCCCAGAAGTTTGAGGCTGGAGTACGCGATGATCAGGCTTGTGAACAACCACTACATTCCAGCCTGGGCAATTTAGTGAGACCCCTTCTCTTAAATAAACACATACACACACACACACACAAAGGAAGGCACTTTAGTAGATTGTTTATTTTTCCACTGGTGGTTCCCACAGGTCAGTTTGCAGGTGGTCTGTGTGCAGCTGTTTGAGTTGCTTGTTAAAAATCCAGAATCTGAGCTGGGTGCAGCAGCTCATGCTTGTAATCCAGCTACTCAAGAGGCTGATGTAAGAGGGTCAGTTGAGGTCAGAAGTTCAAGACTAGCCTGGCCAACATCGCAAGACCCTGCCACTAAAAAATAAATAACTTAGATCCTAGGGCCCCAGCCCCAGGTGTTCTATTTCACAGCCTCTCATTCCTTGCCATAGTTGACTGCTATCATTACCTGGTTAGCTAAACAATAGATCTTACTGTTCTTTTGGGGTTTTCTTTTGTTTTTTTTTTGAGTTGGAGTCTCACTCTGTCGCCCAGAAATGGAGTGCAGTGACCACTCCCGGCCACTGCAGCCTCGACCTGCTTGGGCTCCCGCGATCCTTCCGCCTCACCTTTCCAAGTAGCTGGAACTACATGCACATGCTACCACACCCGACTAATTTTTTTGATTTATTGTAGAGATGAGGTCCCGCCAAGTTGCCCAGGCAGGTCTCGAACCCGCGGGCTTAGGCAATCCACTCACCTCAGTCCCCCAAAGTGCGAGATTGCAGGCTGAGCCACCGAGCCCAGCTCTTACTGTTCTTTTAACTTTAAATTCTGATCAGTGATTTACCAGCCATAGTAGTTATTTTGATCTGGTGTCATTCATTCAGCTAGCAAATAGTAACTAAATCCCCTTTTTTTAAACTAAATCCCTTTTATAGCAGGCGTTATATTATACTAGATTATAAAGGACAAAACAGACATGGCTTCTCTTTCATGGAACGCATATCTAGTAAAGGAGATAAGTAATTACAATTATAATTAGTAATAGCTAATTATAATTAGTTATAGTGAGATCCCTGCAAGGAAACAAGGTCCAGTTATAGAAAACGACAAAGGCCATGCAGAGATACAGCAGTCCTGAAGACCCCTTTGGAAAGGAGACTAAACTGAGCCCTAAAAGGTGAAAAGGAGCCTGTGGGGTAATTTCAGACAGAACAGTATTTGCAAACACCCTAAATCAATAAGGGGCTTGACGTACTCAAGGAGCTACAAGGAGGATTATGTAGGTGTGGTGAAGCAACCAACAAAACGAAAGAGTATGGAATGAGGATGGAGAGGTAACTGGGGCCCGACATGGTAAGGAATTTGGTTTTGACCTGAGGGCAGTAGAAACTCATTGAGCGTTTTAAGAATCTAGTTTATGATTTTAAATGGTTTGGTTCCCATTTGGAACAAGGATTGTCAAAAGGCAAGGCTAAAACTGGACCAGTAAGTGATCTGTTGCAGTAGTCTTGCAGAGTGACAGGTAATATTTTTAGTAGTTTGACAAATTTCCAGCTACCACTTTGAGATTTGCTGAGAGGCAATTACCTCGAGAATTAGTTCATTAGGAGGTAACTGTAGTAGGTCTCTTTTGCCCATGCTCATCCTTGTTTGGTGTTCATCTGTCTGTTTGACATGTGCACACAGCGTGATGCTTAATTTCTTTACTGTGGTAGCAGTGTACATTTCTAATTTGGAAATCAGTTTGGGGAAATTTAGATAACTGTATTATATCAGTGAAGCAAAACTACTTAGGGATTATTTCATGTATTCATTGATTTATTTCCTAGATGTCTCAGCCAGATGTCCTCTTACTTGTTCAAGAATGTTTAAAGAACAGTGGTAAGGCCAAACTCCACATTTTAAAACTTTTCTCTTGTCTATAATTTGGATATATCTATTTTTAAAACTTTTGAAAATAGGAAGTTTTGTTTTAAAAATTGTTTATATGGGTAATATACAAAGCAGAAAAACCAGAAAATGCTCATGAGTTATTAACTAGAGTCCTGTTAATAGTTCTTCTATTGCAGAATAACCATTTTATAGTAACAGTTTTAGCATGATGATAGCATCACTATTTATAAAGATTCAATGAGTCCTAGATGTGACCAAAAAATACAAGATATGTAAAATTTTCTCTTTAGGATAAAACTAAAGGATGATCTTCTTTATTCCATCATTAAAATTAATATTTTACCAACGGTAAATAGGTGTACCTGACTCTAATTAATCCAAAAAGGGCTGTTCCCATTTAGTTTGCTAGTGGTTCAACGCAGTGTCCAAGTTGGGGCTTTACGGCTTTTTGTGCTTTATATAGGCCTCATTAAACTGTCGCATCCCTTGGATCAGTCGTCCCCATCTTTCTTGTTTTCATTGAATAAAACGTTTTTTCCTTAGTTCAATCAGTATGTATTTTGACATTGGACATTTTAGTAGCTTTTGCAGCAATTCTGTTTTTAGTGTCTACCCATATTTCTAATTATGTTATCCATATAACATTTAAATGTTCTGATTCAATGATGTAGTCATTTCTAACAAATGTTAGGGTTGTGTAATAAAAATTTTAAATTAATGTGATTACTCGATTTCTGACTATAGTATTTTTTCCTTTTTGAGTCATTTCAGAGTTTATTTCGCAGTGGTCTTTCAAAAGGTCAAACAAATAAGGCACAAGTGATACTTATACTATAGCTGGTTCTGCTTTTGAACAAAGCTTTAATTAACCGACTTAATTTTCTTTTTCTTTCCTCAGACTCTTTTATCGATGTTGATGCAGATTTCCACGCTAGGGTGCCGGTGGTGGTATGCAGAGAAAAGCAAAGGTCTCGGTTTCTTTAAGCTGTTTATTTATTTATTTATTAGCTATCAACTTGCCAAACCTTCGAGTACTTCACTAAATCTTAATGTCCAATTTCTCCAGTTATAAGTTTTTTGTATGATTATCACACATGCTTCCTATTAGCATTCTCCTTGTACTTCTGGTGCAAGAGGAGAAATCTTTTAATTTAAAAGTAAAAAACATAGAAAGACAGCATTTTGACCCATTTCAGCTGGGTAGAAAAACAACCTCATCAATAGTTACTTGCTTTAATTACCTTTATTTGACACCCTTTTAGGCAGCACTTGTGGCAGTGCTGAGTGACAGTGTGACCTGTCCCAATCGTGTCTCCCTCCATCTGGAAGCATTATCATCAAAGTTGTAGTTCTGAAAAATAAAATTTACTCAGAAAACGGCTGCCATATCTTTTTTTTTTATATCCAATTTCTTAAATGACCCATAAAGATTTAGTGAGGTTTTTTTTTAACTTTTAAGTTTTTTTACTAAAATGTATTTATTGTCAGTGCAAATTAGGGATTGGCATAAAGGATACCTGAAACCTGTATAACATTTTTTTTCTCTTTTTCTTTTCCATCCTCACCCCCACCTCCACCAGTGGTCTTCTTTGTAAAGTGAGTGCAGGAAATGAAAATGCTTGTCTGACAACAAAACATTTAACTGCCCTTGGTAAACTAGAACCAAAGCTGGTTCCTTTGGTGATTGCATTTAGATACTGGGCAAAGGTAGGTTTGAGTTCTTTAAATGTATGAATACATTCTATGTATGCATAAGCAGCATGCTTTGATTTTTACTTGGTTAATTTAATCTTTAACGTATAGACCTATATTTATAGACATCAAAAGAGAAAGGCTTCTGAATTTTGGAACAGAAGAATGTACAGAAGGAAAATTCAGTGTTACTATTTCATTTTAACAGTATTGCTCAAAAGATCAGAATGATTTATAATGCTTATTAAAAATCAGATTTGTGGGTCAAATCCCAGAGGATATGGCCCAAGAATTTGCATTTTAACTAATTTACCATGGTGATTCTTAGGTACAGGACAGTTAAGATAAAGCTTCTTATATTTCCAGTAACATATAGAGACTCCAAAAATATAAACAGCACTCTGGTCTTATTTACATTTCCATAATGTTTTCAATATAGTATCCCATTTGAAATTCTCTAATAAACAGTAGAGCAGTTAACATTCCCCCAAAATGTGAGGTTGAATCATAATTAAACAGTTGAGAAGTTGAGACTCTGTGTATGCACTTTATAGCAAAAAGCAAAAGCTTTCCTGATTGGGTAATAGCAGCAACAATAGATGATTCCTGTTTCTCAGATTCAGAATGAGCAGAGGATGCGGCACTCTTCCCTGGGCGAATGATAATTACAATATTCCATCCTTTGAAAATCATGTCCTGCTTCATTAAGTAGAACATGCTTTTGTAATTGTTATTTCCGTTACTGCTGATGAGTTTGCCCACATTCTCTCCCCACATCACCTTTGTGGCCAAGGCATGAATTTGCAAGACTGCAGGTTAGAATGAGAAGACCATTGAATTGGGCAAAGCCAGGTGGCTTGCACTTGGAACTGAATCATCATTTTTACTTCATTAACATGTGTTCTAATCAAGTGAGTGGATTTACCATGGATATCAAAAATGAAATAGCAAATGATATTTTAGGGCCCTCTGCAAGTAAGTATAGTTAACAAGATTAAATATTTGAAATTGAAACTATCTTTCAATTTTTTTATTTATCTTTCAAAACTGCAATATACGGTTACTGCAAAAATAAAAGGAAGTTATATACTTTGTCACTACTGTTTTACTCTGAGGAATCACTGTAAATTGTGTAATACATGAGAATGAAGTTACAGGTTTTAGGTCAAATTGTGTAAATGCTTGTTCTGTTTTCTCTTGTTGATAGCTTTGCAGTATAGATCACCCTGAAGAAGGAGGCTTGCCACCTTATGTGTTTGCCCTGATGGCCGTTTTCTTTCTTCAACAGAGGAAAGAACCCCTTTTACCTGTTTATCTAGGATCATGGGTATGAAACTTTTTTACTGTTGTTGATGTCGCTGATACTTATTGTATTATAGGTTTACAATTAAATTTTGTATAATTTCAAAATCTAAGCACCTAACCAGGACTGATAAGGATTTATTTATTCTCCTTATGTGAATATTCTTATCTTTCACTGCCGAAATACGGCGTTTGATTTCAACATGGTGCCCTGTACTCTGCTAGGGATACGATTACCCTTCTAGACCACAAAATCTCTTAATTTTTGAAACATATGTGGTCCTGAGAGTTTCAAACAAGAGATTGTGACCCTGTATTAAATTTTTCATTTGGTACATCCTTTCTTCGGGTACAGTTTTCTAAATTGATACTTGAATTTACATATCACCTCCCAGATAGACTATAGGTTTGGTTCACTGTAATTTATTTTTTATTTTCTTTCTTTCTATAACCTATAGAACGAAAGAAAATATAAACATTGAGATTTCTACCTCTACCACAAGATACAGAGCTTAATAGTAACCTCTTGAATAATATTTTAATAGTCTCTTGAAGATGAATTAAAATTCATGTGGCAACTCTTTCTTTCTGGATAAATTGTTGTTGAGTTGATTTGTTCAGATAAGAGGCCATCTGAAAGAATCAAAATTATGTTGTTCTCATCCTCTTGGAAACCTTTTTTTTTTTTAATCCCTATGTGTTACTTTTATGTACTCTTATGTGTACATTTATTTTATAGAAAGATTACTTAGTAAAAAGCTTTGGCTTTTTACTAAGTAAAATCGGCTATTTTAACTGCTTTTCTTTTTACTGCATATAGGTTTTTCTCATCATTTAAGGAGTTCTTAACTATGGGTATACATAAAAAAATTAATTAAAGGAGATTTTTTCTTTATACTTAAACCGAGATTAAGCAAGGACTTATGATTGGCAGACCCTAGGAATAAAGACTGAAGTCAAATAAGCTACTTATAAAACTATATCCTGGCATAAGAGACTATAGTATGCTATAAATCCTCGTTGCCTCAGAGATAGTTTTCTTTGTGACTGTGGTACTGAAATGAAAGAATTTAGGGTCATGAGAGAGTACCTCTACCAAACTACTCTCTTGTGGAAAAAAGAGCAGAAGAACAAAGTCAACCCTTAGTTGAAAAATAATTCTTTCCACCAGACCCAGGTAGGAATCTTTGAAAGTCTTTGAAGTTTTCTTTTCTTCTTAATCCAAGAAAGACAGGAGTTTTGGATGAACCAAACCAGTTGGATTCTGTGTTCCCTTGCTCACTACTGTCTTACTGGGTGAGATCTACCTTTTTAAGTGCCATGATTTTCTCTAAGTAGTTATCTTTCATTGTCACGAGGATGCAGAAAAAAAAGTATTTCTCTGCTGGTGATGATATTCTCTTCAGGATGTGCTTGAGTATATAAACATCTTTTTCTGTGGCCAGTATGTTACCTCCTTGGCAGTAATACTTGAAACTCTCTAAAGTGACACTGACTTTGATTTTGATTATATCATTTGTTTATTCAAATGATATATACTTTTGTTAATGACAAAAGTAGGTATGTGGTGATCAAAAACTGAATTGAATTCTGTGGCTCAAGTAAGGCAGACTCTACCACCTGAACCAAAATGATCTGTATTTTTCTGCATTTAAACTAGTCAGGTATTGTTTTACTGGCTTCTGTCAGAGTCTTAGTTAAAAATATAAAGCAAGTGAGGAGAAAGAAATTTATGTTTATTCAGTAACTTATTTATGCCAGATATTTTACATCATTTCTACAGAAAATCCAATTAGGTCCTCATAATTATGTGTATAAAAATATCTAGACTGTTAATTCTTTCAAAATCTTTAAAGCACTGTGTATACTAGCCCCTGAAGGGAATACAAAGACGAACAAGACTAAGTTCTCTGTTTAATGTTTCGTGCCTCTGATCTATCATTTTAAAAATCTTTTAGCCATTCTGTTCCAACCTACTCAGACCTCTTCCATGTTAGCGACTACTTCCCCCAAACTTTACTCCTAATCAAAATTTCCATTTTATTGTCATTTGATCTTGAAATGATCCAAAGTTAAATCATAGTGAGTTGTGAATGATGTTTAATTCTGTCTTCTCAGCATCTTTTTACCCCACAACAATGCTTTATTAGTTTTTCTAGTAGATATTATAGAATCTACCTTATTTTTATTATACACACCTCACCCGTAGCAAACAGTTAGGGATACCAGATAATACAGTAGAAAGAGGAACAGAAGAACAGTTCTAAAGTTTGACAGCACTGGAACTCATCTAGGTTTTTCCACTTGTAGTCTTATGGTCTTGAGCAAGTTATTTAATATCTAAGCGTTAGTGTCATTCTGAGCTTTAAATGAGATAATGAATGTAAAGCTCCTGAAACGAGGTAGAAGAACAAATGTTAGTCCTTTTCTCCTTTAATAGAAAGTCAAGTTCCACTTATGGTGTGGAAGTGTGAACTCCTAACCATGTGATCCTTCTGCAAATAACAACTGTAAACTCTGGACAAAATACAAAAACAACAGCATGAATGTCCTGCAGGCTGAACAAATGCAAACAGACTTTGGAGGGGAGTCAAAACTTGGAGCAAGTGACCAACACAGAGTGAGTTTCCTGTTTTTCTGTGGCTCTAAAGGCAACTCTGATGTAAATAAAACGAAGCCAGTTCTCTTTCTGGCCAGAGGAACCAGGGCCACCAGAAGATAGGGGGAGTAAGATGGGGAACAGAAAGGAAAGATAACACAGAAGTGTGTAATTCTATATACAAACTCAGCATGTCTCTAGCTAACTCCTGAACCAGACTGGTTCATCCTGAAAGGAGCATGGAAGTCATCACTCTTGTCCTCACAACAAGAAAAAAACTGAACAAACTGAAAATCAACAACTCTTCTTAGATCCATCAGACATTTGGGGTCATGGGCAAACCTCTGCCCTCAAAATTGAAGAGCAGGCTAATACAGTGACACGCAGCTTTTACCAGAGCAGGAACCCTGGAGTAGAACCCTATCACTGGAGCCAGTACCAGGCTAGAAAAATTTAAAGTGTGATTAACAAATTTCTGGAGGCTTCGTATGGACAAGCTTGAGAGTTAAAAACCCATTTTTAAATCAGCCGGGTGTGGTAGCGCATGCCTGTAATTCCGGCTACTGGGAAGGCTGAGGTGGAAGGATCGCCGGAGCCCAGCAGGTCAAGGCTGCGGTGGCTGGGAGCGGCCACTGCACTCCAATCTGGGCGACAGAGTGAAACTCCAACTCAAAAAAAAAAAAACAAAAACAAAAACCCATTTTTAGGAGGGCTTCCTCAAACTTTTGTGAGTTTTACCCCCAGGAACCCCGCCAAGTAGTGAGGTTGAAGATCTGAGGAAAAGCCCCTAATGCTTCTGGCAGGTGAGAGGAAAAGTAGCTATTTAAGAAATATGCCTAGGGTGTTCTGTTCTGAACAAAAGCCTGCTCTCAGGAGGAACTTATTTCCCAGAGCTTGACCACCTTGGTTTTATTAGGGCCTACCTAACCCACCCAGGGGAAGAGAAATACCAACTCCACCCCCTTGGGTCCTCCTGTCTCATTTGAGGGGTGTGGTGGGGGAAGAGAACTGGGAAGTACTTGCAAAGGTCACAGCCTAGGGCAGAGGCTCACTACAAGACTGAAACCTAATCTTAGGGATATATAGTGTTTTCCCTCCCTTGGGATCACAAGTTGTAAACTAAAAAGCTCAGATCTTACTTAAGAAGTCTTTATGGAATTGCAAAGACAACAAGGGAGACAAAAACAAGGACACCAGAGGAAGTTTTAGCTCTACATCTACAACTACAAGAAACAGTAAGCATAGCCTAAAACCTAGCCAGATAAACACGAAACCTCACACTAAAGGCCTACTTACCTCAGTTCTTGCACCCAATACATTATATCCACCTTTCAACAAAATATTCCAAAGCATGCTAAAAGACAAAAACACAGTTTGGAGAGACAGAGCAAGTATCAGAACCGAACTTATATGGCAGAGATGTTGAAGTTATCAGACCAGAAATTTAAAATAATAATGAATATACTAAAGACTCTAATGGAAAAAAATAGATGACATGCAAGAACAAGTGATTAATACAAACTGAGAGGTGAAAACTTCAAATAAAGAATTGAAAGAAGATGCTAGATATCAAAAACACTGTAACAGAAATGAAGAATGCCTTTGGGCTCATTAATAGATGAGATCAGCCAAGAAAAGTTAGTGGATTTGAAGTTATAGCAATAGAAAATTTCCAAACTGAAAAAGGAAAAAAGGAATGAATAAAAAAGAACAGAATATCTAAGATCTAGGTCCATTTCTCAAAGCTGTAACATATGTATAATGGAAATACCAGAAGGAGAAGAAAGAAAAGAAGAAATACTTGAAGTAATAATGACCAAGAAGTTTCGAGTTTTAATGACAGACTCCTAAGGCACATATTTGTAGGGCAACTGAAAATAGGAGCCAAAGCTTAAAGAACTGATCTGAGATCTGAGCCACTTGTCTAACCAAGATAATTACCTGCTGAAACAAAAATGTTACTTTTTGGAGTAAAATAAAGAATTCAGAATTTTTGTAATACAGCATAGTATTTACAATGTCTAGAATGCAATCCAGAATTACTAAACATACTGAGTCAAGAAAGTGGGACCTACTTTCAAAGGAAAAGAAAATCAACAGATGTCAACCACAGGATGACCCAGATGCAGGAAATATCAGACTTTAAACAGTTATTGTAACTGTGCTTTATGAGATAAAAGAAGTAATACATTTGGAATGAATGAAGAGAAAGTAAGTGTTAGCTAAAGAAATGGGAAATAGAAAAAGAATCAAATGGAAAATTTGAATCAGTGGACAAACAGAAAACAAATGCTCAAATGTTAGATCTAAAACCAATGATATCCTAAATATTGATAAACTAATTATCTCTATTAAAAGGCATAGATTAACAGAATGAGTAAAACAAAACTGTATTCTGTCTAGAAGAAATTCAATTCATTAAAAAACATATACATTGAAAGTGGATAGAAAAAGATATAAATTGTAACCAAAAGAAAGTGAAGAAGCTATAATAATATCAGATGAGATATATTTCAAGAGAAAAAATATTACCAAAGACAAAAGGGACATTTCATTATGATAGGGTCAATTCATTAGGAAGACAAAACAGTTAAATATTTGTACCTATTAAGAGAACATCAAATTACATGAAGCCGAAATTGATGAAATTCATTTTACCATCAGAGAAGGAAATTTTAACACCTTCTCAGCAACTTAAACCTGAGTTAACTAAACAAAAAATTAGTATAGACTAGGGGATCTGATAGATATTATCAGCCACCTTGACCTACTTGATATTTATAAAACACTACACCCAACAACTACAGAATATACGTTTTTTAAGTGCATATAGTACGTTTACCAAGATAAACTATATACTGGTTCCTAAAAGAAGTTTTAGTACATTTAAAAGGATTGAAATCAGAGAGTATGTTATGTTAGAATTTACAAAGATGGAGATATAGATCATAAGATATTTTTAAAAATCATACATGTTAAATTGAGCAGTACATTTTAAAGTAATCTATGGGTCAAAGAATAAATTACATGGGAAATCAGAAAATATTTTAAACTAAATGATAATAAAAATACATGATATCTTAGCCAGGTGTGGTGATCCATGCCTGTAGTTCCAGCTACTAGGGAGGCTAAGGCCGAAGGATTGCTTGAGCCCAGGAATTCGAGGCTGTAGTGAGCTATGATTGCACCATTTCACTCCAGCCTGGGCAACAGAGCAAAACTGTCTCAAAAAAGAAATGGTAAAGAAGAAAAAAAAATTCAGGATATCGAAATGGGTGAGATGCAGCTAAAATAATGTCTAGGGAAATTTGTAGGCTTAAATGCTTAAATTTAAAAAGAAAGGTCTAAAGTCAGTGACGTAATGGTTCCCCTCAAGAAGCTGGAAATCAAAATGGGTCAAAGATCTAAATGTAAAAATTAAAAACTAGAAAACTCAGAAGAAAACCTAGGAGAAAATTTGCATCAAGAATTTCTTGGAATGCTGAAAGCATAAACCATATCAATAAAGAAAAACATTGATAAATTAAACTTTATCAAACCGTGAAACTCTAGCTCTTCAAAAACATCATTAAGAAAACAAGCCACCAAACTGTAGAAAATATTGAATACATACATCCAACCAAGAAACTACACCTAGTATTTTCCAGAGTGTTTTTTGCAGGAGAGTAGTTCAATCAGCAGATCTTTACTTACTGTGGTCAGGCACTCTTCTGGGTGCTAGAGTTAAAGTGGTGAACAAAACAGAATCTTGGCCCTGGAATTTGTACATCCAGTGGGGCCAGGGGCTAATACATACCCATCAAGTGGTGGTAATTTCTCTGAGGAAAAATAAACCTGGGTAAGAAGGAGAAGTAGGGAGCTATTTAGAGAACATATTTGAGCAGAGCTGAATAAAGTGAAGGAGAATGATCCATATGATTGTTAGATGGAAAAGCGTTTTAAGCAGAAGAAATAGCAGATGTCAACTCTAGGCCGGGAGGATAGGTCAGAGAAGCAGTAAAGGACTGAATCATGTATCCTGGAAAGGGCTGGATTTCATCTTAAGTAAGAAGGAAACAACCATGAGCAGGGGAGAAACATGATTTTAGAAGATTCACTCTGCTAAATCAATGAAGTTGTCTGATATAGAAATACATTTGGGAAATGTGATGCCATATCCACACTCTATCCCTTATTTATTTTGTTCATTAACCTGTTTAAAGGCTGTGATGAATCCCATTATACAAGAAGAAACCTGTCCAGCTCTGTTCAACATTTCTCAGACCTTTTAAGCCCAGACCATTTTCTTTGCATTAACATTCATTAATGTACTTTGAAAATTTCTTTTTTTTTTTTTTTTTACTTTGGAAATTTCTAACCTGACTAGAATTAATAGTATTTAAAATTATTTTCTGTTTTTGTTTTTTTATTTTCAGTCAGGTTTTAACTCTTGTCACCCAGGCTGGAGTGCAGTGGCACAGTCATGGCTCACTGCAGCCTCAAACTCCTGGGATCAAGTGATCCTCCTGCCTCAGCTTAAATAGCTAGGACTACAGGTGCATGCCACCATGCCCAACTAATTTTTTTATTTTTTTGTAGAGATGCAGTCTTGCTGTGTTGCCCAGCTAGAGTCGAACTCCTGAACTCAAACAACCCTCCCACCTCAGCCTTCAAAAGTGCTGGGATTACAGGCATGAGCAATGCCCAGCCTAAAATTATTTTCTTCAAATTAGGAAGATCTAGTCTTAACAATTGTATCCAGTAATATCTATAGTAACAGTTTCTTATATGTATTAAGCAATTGCTATGTGCTGTATGCTACAAGCAGATACTACCTTTATTTGAGTGCCTTGCATTCATTACTTCATATCACAACTCCCCTATAGAGGAAATTCCAGTATTGTTCCCTTTTACAGAAATCTGAGGCCTGCAGAGAGTAAATACCGTACCCAAGGTCGTACTACTACTATATGAAGAAACTGAGATTTGGGCCCTGGCAGTTTTACTCCAAAACCCATGACCTCAGCCACTAGGCCATGTTGCCTTATTTCACAAAATCACCATTTTGTTTCCAAACCAAAACCTTGTTTTTTACTTTTTAAAATATTTTTAAATTTATAGATGTCTCAGAGTTATTCCATAAATTATATCTTTTGTATTCTCAATGAACTATGAGTATATTAACTTTACATTCCTTCCAAGATTAATATGCTCTGTTTGATTCAAAATTGAATCTGCCTTTTAATAGTATATGTCTAATTTTTTCTAGATTGAAGGGTTCTCATTAAACAAACTAGGGAACTTCAACCTTAAAGATATTGAGAAAGACTCTGTAATCTGGGAATACACTGATGATGCTGCAGGCGGCGCAGACACAACAAAAGAAGAGGCACCAAAAGAAATGCCAGTTAAAATGGGCCAGGTCTGTTCTCTCTCATTTCTAATTTTACCTTCTATTTTTATTTAAGTTGTTAATTGTGGAGTTTGTGAGTTAATCAGTATTCCTGTCTTCTTCCCTTCACTATCTTAACTATTTCATTTCCTAGTCTATTCAGTCCCATGAACAGACTACAAGTAGTGAGAAAAGGTTACAAAAATTTAGATCATTAAATCAGCAGTTATGTACATGGTTCTTTCTGTGTGCCAGGTCCTTTGCCAAGTACTGAGAATTCAAAGGTAAACCTCTGTCTATTCTCAGAGAGCATAGTTTTAGATGGTATTATGAAGTTTGAGTATATCAAAGGTTAACTAACTTCAAATTACTAAAATAATAGTGAATAAGTATATGATTTAATATCTCGTCCCATACTTTTGAGGGGGTGAGCAGGGGAATTTATGCACGGGGAAAGACTAGCCATTAGAATTTCAAACAAAAATCTGTGCAATGTAATTATCCTAGTAACAAGAATAGGATTCTGTCCCAAATTGATGAAAGGTTCCTGATCTTCCCACAATTCTTTGGGGTAAAATGTCAGTAATAGCCACAAAATACTTGTGAGACCAGGATTCTAATCCCAGCTCTCTACAAACAAGTCATTTTACTCCTCCAGTCCATGGTTTACTCATGCCTAAAATGAGGAGATGTGGTCAATGATAGACTTTCCAGTTGTGTTTTCTAGAATCCTTGAACATTGGGAGGAAAAGGGAGATGGCACCACCCTAGCCCTGCTGCTGCCAGCACAGTACCACTTTGATCTGTTTTCTGTTTGGGGTTTCTGGAGTGGAGAAGAGTACAGGCTGTGGAGCCAGATTATGTGAATATGTATTCCAGCTCTCCTATTTCCCAGCTGTGTGTCCTTGAGCAAGTTGCTTCGTCTTTCTGTGTGCCAGTTTCCTCCCTACTAATGGGGATAGTATTGGTACCCTCTCATAGAATTACTGATTTATAGAATGCTTAACTCAGTGCCAAGCATGTGCTAAGCGCTCAGTAAATGTTAGCTGCTCTTCTTACTTTATTTGAAAAAGAAAGTATTCTCCACTAAAAAAAATAAAAATTAAAAAAAAAAAACATTTTAAGTACCAGTAGTCTAGATATTTCAAAGGTCTCTTAAGTTCATGTTATGGTATTGACAAGTCATTTCAGTGAGATGCTTTAAAATCCTTTACCATTCTCAAAAGGAATGGATAAAGAGATAGAATGTAATAAGACTTAAAATTTTCTAGAGTTTTGTGTGTGTGTCCTCAACTATAGTATTTGTGGGACCTAGAGCACTTCCATTTTCAATCAGTTCTGCCTCGTAAATCCACCAGATGACTTTATCTTAATTAATTAATTGACAGGATCTTTGTGGTTGAGAAAAATACTAAAATACTTGTTTTGAAACTTGATATAATAAAGTATGGTCAAAGACAAAATTGTATACCTTAGAAGAAAGGATTTTTTTCAGTTTGAATTATAAGAATAGCATGAAGGAAAAGCTATTACTATTAAGGCCATTTAATGCTTTATTTTTATACTTTTATGCCCTGTGGAAAGACTAATCATGCTGCCACTTCTGAGATTAATGAGCTCTAGACATTATGGAGTTGCATATGGTGAACAAGCACTATTCTTGGATGGGAGATGTCGAGACGTTGTTCTCATTCTGCCACTGCCAGGCAGTGTGACCTGAGGAGTCGTGGAAACTCTTGGGGCTTCAGTTCCTTGTCTCGTAACATATGGGAGTTGAGCAGGTTACCTCTTAAGAGCATCTTACAGTTGTTACGTTATGTTTTAGTGATATATGGATTTCTTGTACTTGCAAAGGCTATACCTAAGTGAAAAAATACAGAGAGCAACCAAGTCTGCCAGATGCTTTCCCTTGTTTCTGATTTAATCCTCATAACTATCCTGTGTTATAGGTGGTATCATCCCTACTCTGCAGATAATGATAGCGACCATTTTTTGAACACTGTGTGCCAGGCACTGTGCTAAGCACTTTACAGACACTACCTCATTCAGTCCTCCCAACAACCCTATGAGGTGGGTACTGTTATCCCCATTTTTCAGATGAGGAAACTAAGGCTTAGACAGGGTATAGACCTTGACTAGGATCATACACAGCCAATACATGGCAGAGCTTGGATTTCAAATCTAAACTTGTCCCAGTTCCAAAACCAGTTCTCTAAGCCGCTGTGCCATACTACCAGTCTGAGAAGGAAGAAGCTAAGTCACAGAGCTATTAAGAGCTCTGACATTGCAGAATCACTATTTGGAGCCATTTTTTCCCCTATCCTAAGTACTGTGTACTTTCCAGTATATGACATCACAGTGTGTTCCAACTTGTTAGAAGTCTGTGACTATAAAACTAGTATTGATTGCTGATAGCAAGAGTTGTTTGACTAAAATTACTTGCCACTGACAGAGCCAGTATGCTCATGTAGCTTCTCAGGGCTATGAGAGGAGTGTTTTTCCTTTTTCTCTATGCCTTTAGTTACTGTCCAGTTTTGTGTGTCTGTGATTGTAAAGGTGCCTCCAGCAGCAGTAATGGGAAGAGTTCAGTGCTGAGAGTATTAGCAACCCATGCACAGTTCTCTCTACCTGTTATTAAGAGTTCAAAATTAAGAGTGCTGTCTGGTTAAATAAAATTGGTCTGTCTATTCCTGTGATAATGACTGGATTTTAACATAGTCTAATCCTAGGAGTGCAGTGAAGTAATGCTATTTTACCACAAGCAAAATAGAACCTAGAATTTGGTTTATTTAGATGGATTGTCTAGTTTATATCTTTGCTAAAGTTTTCCAGATTTTTAAATTTGACTCTTGAATAATCTCTAGTTTTTCAGATTGTGCTTACTTCTGAAATAACCTATATGTTTCTCTTTGGTATTAATAGGTACCATTAATATTTGATATGAAACACCAGCCTTCAGTACCAGTTGGGCAGCTCTGGGTGGAATTGCTGCGATTCTATGCTTTAGAGTTTAATTTGGCTGATCTAGTGATAAGTATTCGTGTCAAAGAATCAGTATCTCGGGAATCAAAGGACTGGCCCAAAAAGCGAATTGCCATTGAAGGTATCTCAAAATGTTTGCCTTTAATTCACTTTTTTTTTAAAGGTGCCAGTCTAACAGCTTGCTTTTTATTTCAGTCTCTTTTCGGCTTCTACAAGTAAGGTAGGCCTGACCTCAAAGGTGAACTACATAGTTAGAATCTTGCATGTATTACAGTGGGTCACTTCAAGGGGCACACCTGTTCACCTCGGTTTTTAAAGTATGAGCAGCTGGAACGATGGCTGGCTGAGTCCTTGCTTTCTGTATAAATTGCTTATCAACTTAAATGCATAAAAAGTTTATTCTCCCTCTACCACCCTCACTTCTGGATTTTTAAATTCAGTCCTTTTGAAGATTATCGTTGATGCTTACTTTTGCAAAGGTGAGGAAAATATTTTTTCTTGTGAAAAATAACATTCTCAGTTGGATTCCTCTCCAATAGAGGAAACAAGTAGTTATCTTTGACATCTGCAGTAACATTTAGAACTTATTCATAAAAACACATTTTTAGTGAAGGTTCAAGACACACTAATGTGCCCTGTAGACAGCATTAAATAACTAGCTTTTCTCAGCTTTGCAAAATCAGGAGGTTGAACTCCCTCTAGAAATCTTAATTTTCCTCCTTTAAATAATTTAAAGAACCTCCTAAATGGAGTTATCTTATTTTTGCTTGATTTTTTTTTCAAGCTTTATGTTACATAAGAGGATTTTTTGCATTTTGCATCAATTCTATGTGCAGTCATGGGGATCTCACATCTTTAAACCCTCCCCTGCAGTTTCTCTGGCTCAGCTCTTCTGGCCAAGTGCCTAACCTGCTGGAGTTCTAGGGGAGGAGAAAAGATTGAGAGAAGTGGTGTCTCCTCCTGGTGCCTCCCTCTCGCCCCAGAAATTCAGTCCAGCCAATTCAGTGATGGGGCTTCCCAGGGCAGAAGAGTGGAGGTAAGCTCAACAAACCACAGGGCCTGGCTGAGTGGGGAGGCAGAACACTCAGCAGCAGAGCCGTCGGGAAGACCGTACTTCCTGAGGGCACAAAAGCCACACTGATGACATCTTTTCTACCCCACAGTCACAAAGCACCACAGGGAAGGGGACTGGTTCTGAGCAGAATGGGCCCTCTTCACAGGACAGATGTTTCAGAAAAGACTTATTTTTGTTCTTAAACTATTTTCTTACTCCCTGCTCCCAGTTTTTTTTTTTTGTTAAGCATATAAGATACATGATACATTTTACTGTTGTTCATTGTCTATTTTTATCTGCAGCAGGCTTATTCTTAAAACATAAAATAGAAATATATAAAGTGGTGGTTTTTTTCTTTTCTTTTTCCTTTCAGATCCCTATTCTGTTAAAAGAAATGTGGCAAGGACCCTAAATAATCAACCTGTGTTTGAATATATACTTCATTGTTTAAGGACAACATATAAATATTTTGCTCTTCCACACAAAGTAGTAAAATCCAGCCCTCCAAAGCCTCTGAGTATGGTTATAGAACATTCTAAAGAAGTAATACATCATGAACCAGATGTACAACCAAAAGATAATAAACTCAAAAACTCAGTTTTGGCTCAAGGTTCTGGTGCTACCAGTTCAACTGCAAATACCTGTAAAGCACAGACACATACTCTTAAAGAGACTGCCAAAAGTTTGGGAAGCCCACCAGTGGAAGATAGGGAAAACAAACGCATCAGTGTCCACCTGGAAAACTCAGACTGTGTCCAGGCAGAGGTCAGTTGTGATGATTATGAGGATGTTAAAATACACTATCAAGAAACAGAAGGTAAAAAAGAGGAAGAGAAAATTGGAAGGAAGGGCAGGCATCCTCTGACTGTCAGTGATCAAGATTTAAGCAGTAGCAAGCGTGGAGAGTTTGTCATCTGTGGCAGCACATGGAATAACGAGACAGACACCACTCTGGATTTAGAAGGCCTCCGTAATGCTACAGCTAAAGAGTGTGATGGATTTGCTACTTTAGATGACCAGGTTGATGCTGATGAAGAAAACGTAGAAAGTACTGATGAACCAGAAGACTCTCTAGACCACTGTGCCCCTTCAACACAGGGCCAGACTTCAGAAGTCATTCACTCTGACGAAGAAGATGAGGAGGAGGAGGAGGAGGAGGAAGAGGAAGAACCCAGGCTCGCCACTGACCAGAGGGAAGACGAAGATGGCGTGGCTAATGAAGATGAATTAGACAACACCTACACTGGATCAGGGGATGAGGATGCTCTGTCTGAAGAGGACGACGAGTTGGGCGGGCCAGCTAAGTTCGGAGACTTGAGAGAATGCGGAAAACATATAGATGGTGCTCTACTTGTGGAGCTTCATAAAATAAATCTTGAAGAAGAAAATGTGTGTGAGGAAAATTCACCAGAGGAGGAGTCTGATTTCTTCTATGAGTTTAGTAAACTTATCTTCACCAAGGGCAAGGTAAGCAGTGCCAATACTAGACTTAGAACTAGGAGACTTTAAGTACTTTTAATGCATCTAATTTCAATTTTTGTGTACTAGAAATTGGTTCCTACTGGTTGTGGTTAATGAGTTGGTCTTTCGTTTTATACAGCTACTTGGTCCACCTTGGTCCACTTCCCTCAGGGGAATTTGCATAGGAGGAAGGGAATGCTTTTAGTGAAAATAATAACCTTTTTCTCCTGAAAAAGGGTGTCCCCAACTCTCAGGTCATTTGGAGTGGCTGCTTGTTACATTTTTCATTTCCTTTGGAAAGTGAAGAGTAGACTATGTACTTTAAAAAAACGATTTCAGACCCCTTTATTTGGCAAATGAAGTGTTATCTTATTTTGCTTTGCCATATTCCCACAGTCTCCTACAGTAGTTTGCAGCTTATGCAAACGAGAAGGTCATCTAAAGAAGGACTGTCCTGAGGACTTCAAAAGAATCCAGCTGGAGCCTCTACCACCACTAACACCCAAGTTTTTAAATATCTTAGATCAAGTTTGCATCCAGTGTTACAGTAAGTTATTCATATTTCTCTCAATTTCTCAAAATATTAAATTAACATTTACTCATAGTGTCATCAGGATCACTATCCCATTAACTCTCTAAGCACTTAGAGCAACTAAGTCTGTTCCATTCTCCATTGTATACACAGTGTTCTGTGTAATGGCTGTCACATTTGGGACACACAGTAAATGTCAAAGAAAGTGAGAGAAGGAGAGGATTTTTTAAGTCTTAAGATTAGAGTACTGGCATTTTCCACCTGATGTTCCTTGAAATGTTTTTCTTGATGCAGCTAATAATATTTCATGACCAAATGTATACCCAGGCCAAGTAGGAAATAACTCTACATACTACTCTCTACTGTAGGGGCGGTAATTCTCCCTTAGAAGTTTCCAGGGCACACTGGCATAATAAAGATGTCTGAGAAATGTTATTTCTAAAATTTGAGCATAGAATACATTCTGAGTATTGTTGATTAACAGCCCACATAACAGCCTTTTAAGGAATATCATTTTGGGACACTGATATAGAGAGGTTTAGAGTTTTACAAAGAGAAAATATTTAAAGGCAAGGTATTCAACCGTTTAGAATAGAGAAACTTGCTTCATTTGGCCACATATGTCATGAGGTACCCATCTGTGCCAGAAGACATTTGTTTTTCACCAGTGATTTTTTTTTTTTTTTTAACCCTTCTTGGAAGTTATGAACTATGAAAGGTAACTAGATTCTCCTTAGGAAAAAAAATATGTGTGAATGCTATCTGGGCATGGTGGCTCACACCTGTAATTCCAGCACTTTGGGAGGTAAAGGTGGGAGGATTGCTTGAGCCCAGGAGTTCAAGATCAGCCTGGGCAATATAGTGAGACCTTGTCTCTACCAAAAATATCAAAAAATTAGCCAGGCGTGGTGGCATGTGCCTGTAGTCCCAGCTGCTTGAGAAGCTGACACAGAGGATCACTTGAGCTCAGGAGTTGGAGGATGCAGTGAGCCATGATTGTGCCACTACACTCCAACCTGGGCAACTGAGTAAAATCCTGCTTTAAAAAATAAATAAAATTTTGCATTGCTAATACTATATACTAGGAAAACTACAAAATCTGAGGAGGTTTTTTAAATAAACTTGTAAGTTTTATGTTCTAAAAAGTAGTTTTTTCAGCATTTTCAAAGAATGTGTTAACAGTCTTATTTTCTCAATGTGTCTATTTTAAACAGAGGATTTTTCTCCAACAATTTTAGAAGATCAGGCTCGTGAACATATTCGGCAAAACCTAGAATGTTTCATAAGACAGGACTTTCCAGGTAAGTAATTTTTTTTAATTTCAAGAAAAGTAGTGTGACCTTCCTTCCAAATGACTACATGTATAATAAGCACACTGATAGAATAATAATGTGATTTTGGTAGTGATGGCAGGATCAGGGTTTCAGTCACTTTGTGATTTGCCAAGGATGGTCTTTGGTTTGCCAAATCCTAGTTTCCCACAGAAAGAATAGCAGTGTGCGATTTATCCTAACAGATACCACAAGTGAATTTTATTTAATATTATATTTAAAGTCAAACATAATAAAAAGTATATTTATTTAGAGTGTAGTAAGCTTACATTATTTAATGTGTTGAGACGATCTAACATTTTCCTTGAAATGTCCTTGAATTTAAGAATAAAGTGGCACCCAATACTTCTTGCCATATCAGCTTGTATGTAAAGAAAAGTTTGAGAGGAAAAAAATTTTGGAATAAATAAGTGGTTAATAAGAGACCATAATTATGAGATTAATATGGGACAGTTAACAACAGGGTAGTTTTTCATTCATGAGATGGCCACTATGATCAAAAATTAAATGTATTCAGGTAATTAGTTGTTCCTTTTCATATATCCCTAACAGGAACTAAATTGAGCTTGTTTGGCTCCTCCAAAAATGGATTTGGGTTCAAACAGAGTGACCTTGACGTCTGTATGACAATTAATGGACTTGAAACTGCTGAGGTACAGTGACCACATAAAACTTCCATTTGCTGTAGCAGTGTGATCTGACCAATCTTGACTGATGTTACAGTTTGATATTTTCCAAATTTATCAGGGCATACCATATAGAGTGTGCCACTTGGCACAATTTCTGGCCAAATACATTAAGAAGCTTAGAGGTGAACGTGAGGAGTAGAAAGGCCTGTACTTTCACCCTGGAGCACAAAGTGGTTGGAAAGTGACATCTGGGAATTCACAAAGGCAAACCAGTTTCTCCCATGTCCTGTTGGCCTAGCCACTGTGCTGACTTGGATCCCACACTCACTCAAAGTTATCTATAAAATTTTTTTATAAGGCAGGCAGTGTGGTAAATGATAAGAGTGTTATTAACCTTATTAGTCCAAGGACCTGGGTTTGAGATAAACTTGGTTTCATCAGTACCTAAACACACAGTCTTTGTTAGATAATCTATAAAATGAAAATAATAACTTCCATTCTTGCCTCAGGTGATGGTTGTACACAGTAGCTTGGATCATGCACTTCAGAAGTCAGCAAACTGGTCCATGGGCTAAATTCAGTCCCCACTACCTGTTTTGTAAATAAAGTTTTATTAAGACAGAGCTACACCCATTCATTTCTGTGTTCTGTGGCTGCCTTCATTCTATAAGCACAGAGTTTAGTAGTTGTAACCAAGACCATATGACTTATAAGACAAAATAAGTTTGCCAGCCCTGGATGTATCTGAAGCTGTTTATAAAATATAAAACACTATGTGAAGGTATAAAATCTGAGAAATGCTAAGTTTCTATTGTTTTTTTAACAGCAGTCCAAAATGTGGATATTTAAATGAGTGCTGCTGTTGCGGAAAACTTTCTTATGTGTTTTCCTAGTTTCGAGTCTTTGTGTTTTGGGGTAATATCTGATTTAGGGAAATATTCAAAAGTGATCTGGCCTGAATTTGATGAATAAAGTAGATAAACAAGATCGATTCAAGATATGGAATGACCCTCTTATAAATCCTCAAAGTTTTTTTTAACATGGCTTATAAACTAGTTTTGAGAGCATTTCTAAAATAAACTTCCAAATATGTTCTGGGCTGTGTAAAACCATCAAATGGGCTTACATTAATAGGGTTAGCCCAAATGTTTTTAAGTGTGATTTATTTGAACTATTATTCATATTTGCTGTATGGCTTTAATTTTGTACATTACAATTTTGGCTAGTCCTATGGGGAAATAATGTGAGCTTAATCACTCTCCACAGCAATTCATCAACTCTTAAACTATAATGAAGGTCTACTCAGAACAAATAAGAGGCCATAAATGACCTCTCTTATATATTCTGGTCCATGGAGTTCTTCTAAGTGATATTACCTAGAGGAGGTAAAAATGGTGGTCCTCAACCATAATTCTGAGATACTTTTAGATGCCCTGGGTTCAAAGGCTTTCTGACTGATTTTAGCATTTTTTGTACATCTAAAAGCAATTAGTAAACAGGGTGTTTAGTGATCTTTGTATCCTTAGGATATTTCCTATGAATATTAACTCTGATACTTGACTAGAAGGGAAAATATATATACATAGACTTAGTTGAAATTAATTTCATTGTTTCCGAAGGTAATGAAACTATTTACAACCAGTTCAAGAACGTTTCTTCCAGTTTTGATTCAGTTGTCTGTGTCATCTTTGTTGCAGGGGTTGGACTGTGTCAGAACTATTGAAGAATTAGCAAGAGTCCTCAGAAAACATTCAGGTACCTCTATAAACTTTTTCTAAATATATCTTTGTCTTTTTATTAGTGTTTTATTTACATAGTCTTTCCTCAGTATCCAAAGGGGGTTGGTTTTAGGTCCACCTTCCCATCTGCCTTCTGCAGATACCAAAATCCTCAGATGCTCGACTCCGTTATATTATTATTATGTTTTTGTTTGTTTGGTTTCGTCAGGTTACTACTCTATTGCCCTGCTGGAGTACAGTGGCACACTCACGGCCATCACAGCCTTGACCTTCTGGGCTCAGGCAATCCTTCTGCCTCAGACTCCCAAGTAGCTGGAACCATAAGTGTGTGCCACCACACCCAGCTAATTTTTTGATTTATTATAGAGACGAGGTCTCACCAAGTTGCCTAGGCTAGTCTCAAAACCCTAGGGGCTCAGGCAGTCCTCTCACCTCCACCACCCAAAGTGCTAGGATTACAGCCAAGAGCCACTATGCCCGACCTCCTTATATTATTATTATTATTATTATTATTATTGAGTCAGGTTATCACTCTGTTGCCTAGGCTGGAGTGCAGTGGCACACTCATGGCTCACTGCAGCCTCAGGTGATTCTTCTGCTTTAACCGCCTAAGTAGCTGAGACTACAGGTGTGTGCCATCACATTTGGCTATTTTTTTTTTTTTTTTTTTTTTGTAGCAGTGAGGTCTCACTATTTTGCCCAAACTCCTGGGCTTAAGCAGTTCTCCTGCCTTGGCCTCCCAAAGTGCTAGGATTATAGGCATGAGCCACTGTGCCCAACCACACGTCTTATATTAAATAGCATAATATTTGCATGTAACCTATACATATCCTCCACGTATACTTTAAATCATCTCTAGGTGACTTTTAATACCCAATACGATGTATGCTACATAAACGTATTGTTTTTACTGGTATTATTTTTTATTGTTGCATTGTTATTTTTATTGTTTGCTTTTTTCCCCCAAATATTTTTGACACATGATTGGCTTATTCTGGGGATGCAGAACCTACAGATTTGGAGGACCAGATATACTTAGAATTCACTAATGCCATGAAGCAATATACTGGCTAATTTATAGACTATTTGCAATATTAGTGTCTTTTAAAAGTTTTGTGTGATTAAGTATGAAAAACTGCAGAATGATTTGGCATGATACTTTGTTGGCATATTGTTGCCTAGTTTAGTTTTATTTCAGGACAAAGCATACAACAGACAGGCAAGAAATTTTGGAAGTCAATTTGCCCTATTGACATAATGTTGGTTAAAGTGTAAAAGTTGCTTACAGCGTGTAAAATGCAGTGGAAAGCGCTGGGCAGGGCTTGGGAGTTGAATTTGCAGCTGTTCTGCTCAACAAATTGTATGACCCTGAACAAGTCACTTAACTTTGCTTGATCTCCTTTTTTCTCACTGGATAATTTCTAAAGTATTAATAGCTGGTAAAATGTATATCTTATATAAGTTGTGCACAGATTTGAAATGCCACTAGCATATTCTTTTGCTATCAGGGCAACTATGGAAACCATTAACAGTAAGGGTCTTTTAAAATGTGGTTCAGCAAACTTCTGTGTTATGAACTGAGAATGAAGGTGAATAATATATGGTCCCTGTCCTCAGAGAACTTAAAATCCATGGTCTGTTCAAAAGTTTTCTTATTTCCATCAAGAATAGACTTTAACTCACAGCATGGATGTGCACACACACCTAGATATACACAAACATACATCTTGAGGGCCCCTTTTCTCTGTATTTTTTTACTTCTAGTTTAAATAAATTAGATGCAATGTTGTTTTAGGAAGAAAAAAAATCTTAATTCTAGTTTATTCCCAATTAAAGTTAACCTAGGTTTTGTTTTTTTAAATGCACATTGACATAATTTTCTTTGGTTATTGATTTAGACATTTCCCTCACTTGGAAATTTCACCTCTAAAGATAATGTGATTTTTTTTTTTTTTTTTTGTAATTTTTTGGTTTGTTTTGAAGTTTATGCAAAGAAACTAAAGTACTAAGTTACCATACTATTGATATTTTAGTACTGAGCTAGATTTTGGCTTTATATTTTGAAATAATTTCAAACTTAAAGTAAAGCAACAAAATTTGCATAAAGAACTCTCTGTATATACTCTTCATTCAAATCCACCAACTGACATTTTACCACATTTGAATTATCATTTCATCTCTTCCTTGCTCTCAATTTCTTTCGGTACCATTTGAAATTAAGCTACTGATGTCATGTCCTTGTCCCCAAATACCTCATATATATTTCCTAAGAAGAAATCATGTCAAAAATGATCATTTTTAGAATAGAAATGACTTAAACACACAGACAGATAATAATTATAATAATGATTATAATTTAAAAATTCAGGTTACATGCAACAAGAATTTAATAACAACTAGAAGGCTATGTTTAAAACTTAATATCTTTTGAAAACAATCTTTCCATGTATTTTACTGGGTGCCTCTGAAGTGCTCAGCACTGTGTTGGGCCCTTAGGGAAAATGTAAAAAATAATGGAAAAATTAAAAATTGTTGTAAGTCATTCCTTTGACAGCTTATAGAGCTTAAAAGAGGTAAGATAATCTCACAAACTGTGACAGTATAAGGTTGTATTTAATTAAAGAACTTCTGAGGAGATAGCATATGGCAAAGAGATTGTATAGGGGAGGTTCATGGAAGGGATGGACTTGTGATCTCAGATGATGGTGAATATGATTTTGGAAAGGATGAGAAATCATTCCTTAGTACGTACACATGAACGTGAGAATGACTGTGGGCTATTTTGGAGGACAATGAGAGAAGATTTGTACATTTGGAGAGGATTTTCAAGTAGGAAATATTAGGAGATAAGATAAAGTTTATAGATACTGGAAAGCCACTGAAGTTTCTTCAGGAGGAGAGGAACCCAATACTACCAAAACTTAAACTTTTTAGGTAGCTGGCGTTGTCTCTCCTAAGGAAGTTGTATTGTAGTCTAGGTGACATAGCTGCAGGACCCTAGCCAGGGTGCCAGTGGTCCTAAGAGATAAAAGATTCCAAATGGGAACATTTCCTAGATTTTGTACCTACAAATAGGACATAAGGGTTGAGGCTAATATCTGCGTATTTGAGAAATGGGAATGTCTGCAGAGAACACCTGTGTGGAGATGTTTACATTACCTCAAAGGTATAATCCAAGAGTTAATAGTCTGTCGTGCAATTAGAAATATGATATTGTCAATCAGAATTTAAAATAAAGATAAAACAGTTACTACATTAAAAACTTTGAAGAGAAAGTACGAGATTGAGAGAAAAAGACCAAGAATAAAACAGAATTTCAAGGAATCATTTGAGAGAAGTTGAAGGCTAAGCCTTAATCTCCATGGATAGAAACTAAGAAAGGAGACTGGAAAGGGAGCCCTTTGGAATGATTTTTAAAAGGGCCAGGTTGATGTCCCATGAATAAATCCTAGAGGACAGGTTTCTAACACGTGTCAACTATCAAATTGCAGAATGAGAAGGACATGAAGACAAAGGCTATTTAATTTAGAGGCAGTAGAGTAGAGTAGTTGGTGGAGGTTCTGGAATAAGACTGGTTTTAAATACAGGCTCCCTACCTACTGGCTGTGTGATCCCAGAAAATCACTCAACCTCATTACAGGCCCTCAACTCAGTTCTTCATCTGTAAAGTGGGAATAATAGCACTAGCATTTAAGATCAAAAAGGATAATACATTAAAGTGTGAAAGGGCAGGTCCAAGCATATTCTAACTATTCAAGTATAAGCTTCCTTGCCCCTTTTCCCCATCAATAGAAATTAGATTTCCTCTATCTCCCATACAGACCTTTTTCCCTAAAATTGCTATCATCTACATATTTTGTCCTGAGTTCTCTGATATGATCACTGTGAGCTTGTGTCTGCCCTCTAAACATCACCACCTAACTCTTAGAAGAAACTCAAACCCCAGCATTTCAGAATAAGCTCTTCTTCTCTTTACCACCTCCCTTCTGCTGTGCCACCTGCACTACCTGCCCTCCCTGCTGAATTCTCTTTCCTGGTCATTAACATTGGCATCCTTGGAGCCACCAGAACTGACAAAGTGATTAGATGTAGTAGTCCTATCTAGATTTGAATCCTAGCTCCACAGCTTACCAGCTGCATATTCCAAAGCAAGTGAACTTCTTGGGTCTCCATTTCCTCATTTGTTAGGTAAGAGTGAGAAGTCTCAGGATGTCATGTTTGTAAAGGACTTTTCACATGCTCTGTCATACATCAGGTGCTCAGGATGTGGTAGCTCTTACTGTTAGAGCCCTCCTGCTCCCTTATCACCCTTACCTCCCATCCAGTTACAGATGCTCTCAGTCATGCCTGTGTCTCTCAGTCTCATGCCTCAGTGAGAGTTCAGGCCCAGATTTTTTCCCTAAGTGGTCACCCTGTTCAATTCCAGGTGTCTCCAATGTATCTATTGCCAGGGGCATTGTCTAAATGGATGTAGTCAGTGATTCCTCCCTACCAGTTTATTGGCTTCTCTTTGACTCTAAGGATAATTCTCTTTTTTTTCCCCCTCTATTTGGGCTCTTCCGAGTTTCTTCCTCATCTCCTGCTCTGCATATTCCTTTTCTTCAAGTTCATTCTACAGCCTACACAATTTTATGGATGTTCCCTAATCATGCCCTTCTATTTCAGGCATCCAACCTTTTCATGTACAGTTTCCCTTGTCTGGTAGATCCCCTCAGTCTCCAATATTTTTGCCTCTTGTTTAAATCATAGCTCAGGCAACTTGGTCCCCTCCTATTGAAGTCAATGCCTTTCTATTACCTTTGTCATATCAAACTCCATGATGAGTAAATTTTGTTTTGAGGATTCAGATGACTGCCCCATGGGCTTTTCTCCAAATTAGATGCAGTCATATGGAGCGAATAGGTAGGACCCACATAGTCTAGCCTCTGTAGTAGTTCCTCTGTTTTGCTGTTTGTCAGACTAACAACAGCACACACACACACACATGCACAAGTGTCCTAGGGGGCAGTGGCTGCCTCTTTTATTCTTGTAGCTCAAATATCAGTGTGCTTAAATATAAACTTTGCCAGAATAATCTTTCCAGATGGTTGTTAATAGAGAATTATTTGGCTAGTCCTCGTGAATGCAGTGGAACAAGCTAAAGTTAGGTTTATATCATTTTATATGGACTTTAATATAGGAACTCCTCACATCCCAGCTGCTGTATTTAATGATATTGTCTTATGTCCTAACTTAGGTCTGAGAAACATCTTACCTATTACGACAGCAAAGGTGCCAATTGTGAAGTTCTTCCATTTGAGAAGTGGTCTGGAAGTGGATATCAGTTTGTATAACACTTTGGTAAGATTTGCTTCAGGTTTTTCTTTAAGTAGATGGGGAACAAACATCTCAACACACAAAAATCTCAAGTTAAATGAACCATTTATTTTATCTTATTCATTTTTTTAAGAGTTTTTTATGAGTGCTTGCTATGTACCTGGCAGTATTCTGAGGCTGAGGAAATATTGGAGAATTCAGTCAATATTAGTATTTATTTAAAATGAGGTCAGAGTGGCAGGCTCTTGTGTTTGGCTGGAACTTCTTAATTTGGGAATTGAGTTTGTCTTTGGAGACACCTTTTGAACTTTTAGATGGGCACAGTGTAATCCCAGTGCCCCATCTCTCGTGGGTCTGACACCTAGTTTGTTTCAGAGCTTCATGGGACCTCTCTGGCCCCCAAAGATATTTACTTAAAGGGAACTGGGGAACTGATTGTTTATTTCAATAACCCTTATTTTCTAGATGTTCAAACAAGGGACACTAACATAATGGAAGTCATGAGGTCAAGTGTTACTTACAATTCTATAGTATTATCTCATAAATTAACAAAGTTGTCTTTGGGTAAAAAAAGGTTGATTTCAAGTCTAAATGTCTTCATTCTAAAATGAATCACAATGTAAACCTATTTAGAGTATTTCAGCTTAAACCCTTTTCATCTAATTGCCAGCCTCATAGTTTAATTTCCCTTTTAACAGGCCCTTCATAACACAAGGCTTTTATCTGCTTATTCAGCCATTGATCCCAGAGTGAAATATCTGTGCTATACTATGAAAGTATTTACAAAGGTGAGTGTGCTTTCTGTTAGAATTTATCAAGAAACTTCATTGTGTCTTCAAACCTTGTTGAAAGCATGTCTTCATATTTTAATGAACCATAGCCATATCAGATGCTTCCTGTAAATATTTGGGAAGTCCTGTGGAGCAAACTAAAATTTTGTTATCTTAAATTATATATGATGATATGATCTTGCTTGTGACTAATTGTCCACTGCTTTGTAGGATTGGATTGGTTTCGTTTTTGTTGGCATGTTGTAGCCTTTGAAAATGTGATTTTTCTATTATTTCCCCAAATAAGCAGCTTACTTTTAGTAGTAATAGAAAGGCTGCAAAATAACAGAAAACCCTGATGGTCTTTCCTTTGCTCTATGACCTCACCCCTTTAGATGTGTGACATTGGTGATGCGTCTCGAGGCAGCTTATCGTCATACGCATACACTCTCATGGTGCTGTATTTTCTCCAGCAGAGGAATCCACCAGTCATTCCTGTCCTTCAAGAGGTATTAGTAAATGAAATTGTATTTGTTATCTGTAAAGCTAGGTGATCTCTGAGCCCTCCTTCCTGTCTAAAATGTTATGGTTCTGTAGTTAAATTTGTAAGTATTTCCTAGAAGTTTTTGTATCAATGCATAAAGTTTGTAATCCATACTAATAGTTTAAAAATTAATTTCAGATATACAAAGGTGAAAAGAAACCTGAAATATTTGTTGATGGCTGGAATATTTATTTTTTTGATCAAATAGATGAACTGGTACGTATTTTAAGAGTAAAGATTTTCCTATATTTTTGACTAAAATTAGTTACACTAGCTGAGTGTAGATGGTCAACAAGTATTTTATTGCTTGTTATACTTATTTGTATTGTGATAGTAAAAAACTAGTATTTGTACTTGTTTTCTTTGAAATGAAAATATTTTTATTAAGCCAGGTGAGTTTTTAGGGACTGTATTTAGTGTTTCTTCAATGCCTAATAATTCCAAATGGTTAAGTAACTTTATTCCAAGTAAATGAGTATTTGCTTTGTGGTTTTTATACCTTGATTTTGGAAATACTTTCATTAAGTTACAGAGACCTAATAACCCAGGCATCACCAAGGCTCTTAGAATTTATTTCTGGATTCTTCACTAATATGTTCTGAGATTTGACATTGAAAACTCAGCTTTCCGTGACTGAAAATTAGAGTGGAAATTAACAAACTTATGTAAATAGTATTTTTAAATATGAAAAACATTTTATGTGTTTACACGCTAGTTAATTGGAAATAAATCCAAATTTATTTCCTAAGATGCAACTGAATATTCCTGTTAACACTTTGCTATAGAGTGTGATATCCTTTGTTCCCTTCTATTTCTAGCCTACCTATTGGCCAGAATATGGAAAAAATACAGAATCTGTTGGTCAGCTGTGGTTGGGCCTTCTTCGTTTCTACACAGAGGAATTTGACTTTAAAGAACATGTTATTAGCATCAGGAGAAAAAGTCTGCTTACAACTTTTAAGAAACAGTGGACTTCAAAATACATTGTTATTGAAGGTACAAGTGAAATTGAACTTAAAATTGAATAGAGTACAGAGTTTGAACCATGAGGGGATTATTCTTCCACCTTACAGAGTTCTCCTGGGGTATTATGCTTGGGGTGTGCAGTGCAGCAGTGCCATTAGTGTTCACACCAGGCCCACCTGTTTCTTTCTCGCCTCAAGATTTATTTTTAAAGACTGATACCAGGCCGGGCTCGATGGCTCAGCCTATAATCCCAGCACTTTGGGAGGCCGGGGTGAGTGGATTGCCTGAGCCTGTGGGTTCGAGACCAGCCCAGGCAACTTGGCGAGACCCCATCTCTACAATAAATTTTTTTAAAATTAGCTGGGCATGGTAGCGTGTGCCTGTAGTTCCAGCTACTTCCTTGGAAGGCTGAAGCAGAAGTATCACTGGAACCCAGCAGGTCGACGCTGGGGTGACTGTGAGCATGCCACTGCACTCCAGCCTGGGCAACAGAGTGAGACTCCAACTCAAAAAAAAAAGACTGATACCTTTCACCACAATAGTTCTTTTATTATTGCTGAATACATACTGAAGAATAAGGTAGCAGTAGAGCTAGATAAGGCAGCATCAAGACAGTGGTGCTATTTGAAGGTTTGAAGAATACTACTAGATGAATTTTTAAGATCTCTATTTGCTGTTAATGAAGGAGTTTCCCTATCAGTAATTATATATATGTTGTGATATTTTGACCTTGCAGAAATCTTTTCTGTTTCCACTGAATGCAGGGATCCATTGAAACCACTGATGTTTATTTGTAATTAACTGCTTATTTCCAATCTGTGGAATTTTAATTTTAGAAAGACAACATGGAGTTCAAATGGTTAAAAATGAGCTGAGAAATGATTTAAGGACTGTTTTGCTAATTTTAGTAAGGTGCTAAATTTTTTTTAAATATACTTTTATCACCTAAGTAATATATATTATTCTATTAATAAGTTAAACTTTCCTCATTACTTCTACTTATTGACAGTATTAGAATACTGTGAACATTTGTAAAATAAAACTCAAATAAAGTATTATAGCTATGGTTTTAACTTTTCAGAGTCTCATATGTCAAAAACATAGAACTTTGTTTTATTTCTTTTTGTTATTACAGTGGTTTCTTATGGTCTGCTAATTATTCATTTTTAATTTTTGGAGGCTTATTATCTTTTGCTTTTAAGTTTTACATTACTTTCAGATCATGGCTCACTGCAGCCTCAACCTTCTGGCCTCAGGCGATCCTTCTGCCTCAGCCTCAGGCTGAGGCTATTAGCAATAGGCTAAACTAAAAAAAATACTTCATTCATGATTATATAACCAGCTATTCTAAAATTGAGAAATTTCACTTTTTGGTAGTATCTTTAACTGTACAATAGCTAATATTATAGTATTACGACTGCACCAAGCATATAACCAGAAATACCTCCATACTTACACCTATAAAAATTACCAGAGGAAATCATGACCAATCTGACAAAGAAGGGAGCATGCTCACAGCGATCATTAGTGTAGGGTTAAGCTGCAGGAAGGATCCTATACTTCAGTAAATTGTTAGTGTACCTCTCAATATGTTATACCTCAGTTGTTATTCATAAGAAGCATAACTGACCAACAGAAGGGTACTTCTTGGCTCCATTTATTTATTTATTTATTTATTTATTTTTGAGTTGGAGTCTCTGTCACCCAGACTAGAGTGCAGTGGCCGCTCCCGGCCACC